TAGGCTTATCTATGGCCTTCAAAAAGTTGACGACTCTACATGTTTCGACGTTACAACGTCAACCTGAGGCCATAGATAGGCCTAACTAAAATGTTTTTAATTGTATACCAGTTTAACGTTGAATATTATTTATGATTGTAGAAAATTGTTCTAATGAGTATGAAACGTATCAAACCTATTCAGTAAAGCTCACTTTCTGTTTTCCTCTTCCATATTAACGATGGTAATAATATTACATATATACGTGTAAACTCTTTTTAAAGACTCTTTTTCCAGATATAGCTTTAAATGCAGAAGGGCGAGAGAATGGATTAAACCTGACCAAACAGTTTTATTGTGACGTAGCAATCATTATCGATCTTAAAAGTCTTCTCAAAAACATATTAAAGGAACGATAGAATATTTCAATAAGGCTAAAAAAAAATGATCTTGAGTTTTTAATGATAATTTTAACATACCAGATATCAAGATGTAGTTTCTCGGTGTGAACATCATCTATGTCCCTGAAATAAATATTAAAAATAACAACGTAAATGATTTTTGTCCCTACTCTAGAACGTTAAGTTAAAATAAATCATTCTTAAAATATTTAACAGAAAAGCTGTGATCATTTCACACTATCTATATTTATATAATTATATAGAAATATAAACACTACGTTGTATGTCTAACACTAAGATGTATTTGAAATATACTACGCTGTATGTCTAACACTAAGATGTATTTGAAATATACTATGCTGTATGTCTAACACTAAGATGTATTTGAAATATACTACGCTGTATGTCTAACACTAAGATGTATTTGAAATATACTACGCTGTATGTCTAACACTAAGATGTATTTGAAATTACTAATTTAGCTTTATTCTACATAACTGTTCTAATCTAGCTGTAATTTCGATATTTCTAATATTTTGTCCACAAGGGAGTATGGTTATATATATATATATATTTCTTGATCTGTTTGATTAAGCTTTGAAGCTTAATAATAATACTCAGTTTTTGTCTGTCACGAAAATGTGCGCACACTCTACTATCTAATTTTATTCAAACGGAAGCAAAAAAACGGATGTTAAATAAACTGTATTAGATATTTTGTGCAACAACATATTCAAAGGTTATCAAAATTTGTAAAACTTTAGGCGTAGAGTAACATTATAAGTTTATTTATCGATACTACAAAGCAGGGTAAAGCTTAGCCCTAACTAAACTAAAGCAAGAAACGTGCATAAGTTACAATGATATTTTATCTTTTTTATCAAATATAGGCCGTACTTAATAAAGGCTTAACTAATGTTAGGCTTAAGACAAGTGGGTTTATATATTTCGGTGTCTATGATTAGAATTATTTTGTATTATTCTTGAATAATTATCCTGTATTTAAAGAAGTGCTGTTACTATAAAGACACTAATTTGACCGAAAGTGTTTTGGTCTCTGCTTGTATATTACATGCTAATATTTCTTGATTTGATTATGTTTGAACAGAACATATTATTGTGAATTAGCAATTAACGTTTACTCATCATTTATTTTTAAGCAACCATTTAAGTAGGCTATTTTTAACAGTAGTTGACGTTAGACAAATCTCTTTAAATACGCTATTTTATGAAGAATAAAAGTCAACTTGACACTAGATGAACTCACAAGCGAAACTGTTCGTTCCATTTTGGGTTCAGGGTGTGTGGTTTGACGGTGGTGGTGCGAATATATTTGGCAGGAAGACTTTCTGAAACACTGTTACTTCGAGTTCGATCTCGACGTTTGAAAGAAGTCCCAAATTTCCTCAAGCCCTGAAGTCTTGGGCTACTTCGCCCTCGTTCCGTTTCTTCGTCAGAACTGTTTCTTCTGCCTTCCTGGACGCATCCTTGCAGTATCCCCAGCATACAATAAGGATCACTAAATCCTGCAGCGGAAAACCACATTTAGTTATAAAATAGTATACAATAAGGATCACTAAATCCTGCTGCGGAAAACCACATTTAGTTATAAAATAGTATACAATAAAGATCACTAAATCCTGCAGCGGAAAAATACATTTAGTTATAAAATAGTATACAATAAGGATCATTAAATCCTGCAGCGGAAAACACATTTAGTTATAAAATAGTATACAATAAAGATCACTAAATCCTGCAGCGGAAAAATACATTTAGTTATAAAATAGTATACAATAAGGATCATTAAATCCTGCAGCGGAAAACACATTTAGTTATAAAATAGTATACAATAAAGATCACTAAATCCTGCAGTGGAAAAACACATTTAGTTATAAAATAGTATACAATAAAGATCACTAAGTCCTGCAGCGGAAAAACACATTTAGTTATAAAATAGTATACAATAAAGATCACTAAATCCTGCAGCGGAAAAACACATTTAGTTATAAAATAGTATACAATAAAGATCACTAAATCCTGCAGCGGAAAAACACATTTAGTTATAAAATAGTATACAATAAAGATCACTAAATCCTG